CGCCGCGCGGCTACACGGGGCACGAACTAGGTAGTTCTAACTAGGCTTCCTAGTTCGAACTATCGTTACTCCTCATGAAATGAGGAGTAATGGTAGTTCGAACTAGGAAGCCTAGTAGGAATAAGACCCTCCGGAAAAGGGCACTTTTTCTGGAGGATCGGGGCCAGTGTAGACGCTCTTTTCCGGCTTTTCTAAAAGCCGGAAAAAAGCGGCGGACATTTTTATTTAAATGCCGCGGGGGATATTTAAATCCCCCGCGGATTTCCCTATTACGATAGCTGAAATTAACATGCCCCTTCCGGAAAAGGGGCCAGTGTAGACGTAGCCTTTGTGATTTACACTTCACTGATGGTTAACACCTTCCCTTGTGTAAAAAGCTCCCTCACTTCTCCAGTGGGAGCTGGGTTTGAAAAGGGTTCAGCATCTCAGGGAAAACTTTCCTTCATCTGATATCTGTAAAGACTTGATATTTAGCCAGCGAGGTAGAGCATTTCTTTTGTTACAGCTTCTCCCTACCAGTAAGGCTTTGCAGAGCTGACTGATGAGTCAAGATGGACCAGGGAACAGTCAGGGAAATTAGCCTGTCATTAAAATCTAAAGTAATTACCCAGTAGACAGGGCAGCAGTTCCCTACCTTGTACTGCTGGGCAGCTTCCTGTATGGGCACCACCCTGTGCGCACGGTGTGTCCGGGACTCTTTGCAGATCACACAGATGGGGGCTTGATCTTCCACACAAAACAGCTTCAGCGCCTCCTGGTGCTCCCCACACACCCCGCCCCACTGCAGACTCAGCCGCTGGGCTATTGCCACCACGTTAGCCAGCTGCCTACTGGGCTGGACGGCTCCCTGCTGCACAGGGTCCCTGCATCCACTGTTGTGCCCACGCTGCAGAGTGAGAGGGGCCGTGAAATCCTCTAGGAAGATCCTGTCGGTCGCTTCCTGCAGGAGACGTCCCAATGGGCTCCCTGAGGCCATTGCTGCCTCTGGGCTGGGAACAGGCTCCGCCTAAGCCGCGCCTCCAGCAGGCAGGGGGCTGTTTGGCTTCCTGGAGCTGACTCGGGCTGTTTGCTGGGTGGGAAAGGACAAATGGGAGACATCGCAGCCCCGGAGGCTTCGGCGAGAAACGTCCCACCCGGAATCCGCCTGGCTGCAGATCGGCTCCCAGAGCTGCGTGTGTGCAGATACCAGCTGGGCATGTCGAATAGTGACAGAGATGCAGCCGTGTTCGTCTGGTCTAGTGGAGTATGCGCGCGCGCGCGTGTATCCGCTTAGCCGCTCCCAGCGGCGCAAGTTTTGTCATGTTCAGGTTTCACAGTTGTGCGAAGTGGCCGGGGAAGGCGCAGGCCGAATTTGGCGCAGGCAATGCTTATGCAGCCACTGAGGGACTACAACTGAGACCCGTGTCACTGAAACACGACTCACCCGCGGGGCCCTCCGGGCTGCAGGGGCAGAGGGGAAGTGTATTTATTGAAACACAAACTGTCAATATGGGTCGCAAAACAAACTCAGAGGAAAGGCGCGTTGGAGTCCAGTCGGGACCCGCACCCCAGAGCCCCCACCTCGGCCCCACCCCCAGAGCATGTTACGAAGACTTGACAAGAAAAGCAGTCAGGTTGGGCTGAAA